TGACGTGAGCCGCGCTTGGACTGTATGCTGGAAAGAAGGCTTGTATGCTGCTCGTATTGTATGCTGCTAAGCCAATTCTTTAAAAGAAGCCCCGTGGTTTATTCTGGGGGTATCTGCTCCGTATATAAATCCGTGAGGAGAAAAAGGCAGTGTTTCAGAGCAGGTATTGCTCCACGTCATCATTGACCCTGAATAAAACCTCAAATTCACTTCATCAGTGGAGGTGGTTTCTGCGTGCTGTCAGCTAATGAGCTGTTGAACTTCTGTCAAAAGTGGTGCAGAGAGGAGTTTAAAATTAAGCTTCCAAGGGTGACCACACTGCTCTTAGCACGGTGTTTCCTGTATCCGCATAATCCACGCTCATGACTAGTCACTTGTACTGTGCTCAAGGTTTGGAAAAAACAGCTTTTTCCCCAACATGGCATACAGTTATTTTAAGGTTCATTCACAGGGGAATATTTATTACTACAGAAATGCTAATGATGATGCTGTTTACTATGTAAATATAATATTAAACTTGATATAGAATTTTAAGGGTTTTATTGGCTTGTTTTAGGCCTATTTGTTAATTTAGGTGAATTTTAAAAATATCCTTGGACAGCATTGAAGACTAAAATTATGGTTTGTCTAGTTCTGAGTGTTCCTTGTACTATTTGTGTTTATATGCTGGTTTATGTTTTGAAGGTCTGGAGCCAAGCTAATCTCTATATTTCAGTGATAGAAACGTCAATATATTTTTGTTGTTGTTGAGTCTGTCTCTTTCTCCATAGGGTATGCAAAGCTCTGTTTTGTTTTTAGATAATCCAGCTCAAGCTTCTCTTCCTTTTTTCCCACCCATGCTATAGCCTCTTCCTGAAAGGAAATTCAAACTTAGTTCACCATTGGGAAATTTGCCTTAATCTTGAAACAACAAATCTCTGTAGCTAGTTTTTCTAAGGAAATACAATTTGTGCAATTGGTCTGCCTCTGTCTGTGCTTTCCTCTAGTAGCTTTTGAATCTCTCAGTCGGTGATGACTTCATTTGGCAGATGCTTTGTGAAAAGTAGCAGATGGGTAGAGAAGGCATTACTTGATTGTCTTCTTTAGGGAAAGGCAGAAAGAATTGAACTGTGAGATACTCTGTTTGTCGGCCCCCAAGTGACCAGTCAGCATATGTCAGCCAGTCAGCCATGGAACTGTAGATAAGCAAAGCAATACTTTTGACCGTCTGACAGACCCCAAAAAGGAAGGTATGGGTTGAGGGAAGGAGCCAATGAAGCTGCAGAAATTTACTGTTTTAAGGAGATGCAGGGGAAAAAAACCATCTCCCTCTTCAACTATGTTGTGATTATTGGTTCTATAAACTGCTAATAAATAGCAGTGTTGGCTCTGTTGCTTGCCGATTAATTTTCACTTGTGTGGAAAATACGGTATTCTGTCAAAATGAAGGGTCCGTCGTAGACGTTCAGTGTAACAGAGAACTGGAAACTGATTAAAGTGATTGCCTAGTATGTAATCAAAGCTTTTCTGAAATGGAAAATGCCTTAAAACATGAAACGCTTGTCTGGACGTTGTAATAACTCGGACAATTAGCTTGCGGAACAGGCTTTTGAGAAAGTAATTTCATCTATTGTTTTATCACTGTCAGGGACTTGAAATGTACCGGTCAGAATTGAAGATGGGGGAGTCTTGGTTTCTTCCGTGATTTTTCTTGAGAGAGTGTGAGCCTCTTTCAAGTCTTAGCATATACATCACTGATTCAGTTCAGTGATGTTAATGGAAGGTTGCGATGCACTTTCTTTGAATATCAGCCTTTAGGCCTTGGTGCCCTTTCTGAGAACACTGATGATAATTTCATGAAAAATACTGAGTAAGTGCAAGCGTGATGGGGTTTCACTTTTTAAAGCATCGTTGTGTGGGATTCTTTTCAGTATGTAACATTAGTATTTTACCATGATTTTTTAATTATTTCAGTGTAAAATTTGTAGAAATTAACTTAATAGATTTTATGCAATTTCAGAGAATCGAGTTAAAAGTAGTTTCATAGAATTTCATCAGGAATTCAGTCTTAAAACCTCATGCTATGCAAACCCTAAGCTTCTATATCTGTGTAGCTTCTATATAAATTGTGATTTAATAGAAAAGAATGAAAAGTGACTTTTTGACAGTGATACGAATGTTTTTTACATAAAGTATTGAACTGAGGCAAAGTTAGCTTTTTACTGATGGCTTAGTTGAAGGTCCTTTAGCTGTCTATAGGCTGGGTGGATAAGCCCTAAATACGGCTCACCATTTTCTCCTAATAAGAGCTGATGAAGTGCATGTTCTGTCTGTTGTGGGGTATGAACTGGCTGCCACATTTGCCTAACCTCTGCCTTGCTTTGTTGGATTTGGGGGTGGTGTTGGTTTTGGTATCATACTGCTGTGTAATTAGTAACATCAGCTTAGTTAATTTTCCACTTCTGAAGGAGGCCCAATCTCTTTTCTGTGTGCTTTTTTCCGCTACTTTGAAATCACAAAAAAGCTAGGGCTTCCTGCATTTGATAGCTGGTATAGTAAAATCGTGCATTTTAAAGTTGTGTATACAACTTCAATTTTCTATTTATGCTTTCCTGAAAGGCAGCTCTTTAACATGGGTGTGGATTTTGCATTGTTTAAAGGTGTGGAGGGAATAAATTTAAAGCAGCTGCTTTGCATTAATACAGATTCTTTTCCTAGTAAGTGCCAAGTGCTTTTTTCATGCTACACGAAGTTTTAATTAAAAATGCAAGTTTAGGAGAAAGCCCGTTTCACTGTGAGGTACGCCGATAGAGCAGAACTTCTCCTGAGGTCTGTTAATTCACTGGGCTTTTCTGCTGAAGCGCTGTGTCCTCGGAGGCCATTTCATGTTGATCACCAGCTCAGGAAAGGCTCGGTTACACAGAGATATTCTGAATAGTTAAGGTGCATCAGTTGGAAGAGCAGGGCTTACCTGCTATAGTATAATCCTCCCAAGGCCAGTCTACGCCTGAGAGATACTGTCTGTGGAAGGGTTCCATCAGTTTCCGCCTCCTGAACGTTGAATTCACCACTCTGATTAATATGCTTTAAGTTTGTGTGCCGATCACATGTTGGCATGGCTGAAGGTATAACTTGAGATCCTAATGAGTTCCGGGTGAAGGAAGTGAGGTATGAAGTCCAGACCCAGGAATTTTTGTTGGATCTGTGATCGTGATGTGTTGGCCAACTCGGGTGTGTCCGTATCACCCTCCTAAGACCAGGAACGTGCCGTATGGCCGGTCAGGAGAGGAGAGAGCAGGAGTACTAGTTCCAGCTGGTGGAGGAGGGTGGCATCAGTCAGAGGATGAGGTTAAGTATGAGGACAGAAGCATAGCTCAGATAAAATGAAGTTGTCAACAGCTGATGTGAAATATACTGCTAATGATAACTGATATTTAAATAAATGCAGTCATTCCGATGTACTTTTAAATAGAACTCTAGCTTTTTATTAAATTTGGCTTTTTATTTTTAAAAAAAGCTTCTTAAATTAATCAGTTAATTACAGTGTAAATATACAAACAAATTACCACAGTCATTATTTCACGATCCATGGCAGTCGCCAAAGTACGCACTTCTAGTTTGTGGCACGTAGTAATTTTCATGCGTGTATCCATCTATGGAAGAGAACTTTCAATTCCCTTGCATCTGCTGAGCAGCAGGAGTGCTCACGG